GGGTGGGGGTGGCTTTATGTGGTTTTTGGTCTAAACTAATTTTCAAGGATAACACAGAGGCCTTCTCAGTACACACAGAGGCTGACCTGTCTCCTGTGCACCCGTCCCTAATTCCACAAGGGTGCGCTCCTTCCAGGAGGCAGGGTTGGAAGCCAGAAGACCTGAGGCTTCCCTTTGTCTTTGGCACCACTGTGCCTCTCAGGCCACACTTCTCAGAGCAGCGCTTTAAAAAAAAAAAAAAAAAGACATAGGTGGCATACATCTGTAATCCTAGCACTGGGGAGGCTGAGGCAGGAGGATCACCTGGAGTTCAAGGCCAGCCTGCACTACATAATGAGACTAGGGCAAAAAAAAAAAAAAAAAAAAAAAAAAAAAAAGGAAAAGAGACAGTGGTTAATTCAGGGGCTGGAAGTATGTTATGAACCAAAACGCTACAAGCAAATCACATCAGATTTTAAACTGATCTGAACTAAACTAGTTATGACTATTCAATGGCTGGGAAATCAAATCCACTGCCACTCTCTTTTTGTGGGGGCAAGAAAAAGGTCTCTGTGGCTCAGGTTGGCCTTAAACTCCTGGGCTCTTGCCACACTCCTGCCTCAGCCTCCCAGGTAGCTGAGCCTCTATTCCAGGCTCAATATTCCTTCCAATGCGTGCTCTATTCCCTGATGTCTAGTCACACTTTTCAGTATGTCTATATTAAAATAAAACGAACCAAAAATAAAATAAAAATAAAACGAACCAGAGGTGGTGGTGCACCTCTATAATCTCAGCACTCAAGCAAGCCAAGGCAGGAGGACCATGACTCATATCCAGCCTGGGAAATTTAGCTACTTATCAAGACTCTGTGATTGAATGAATGAATGGAATGAATGAATGAATGAACAGACTGGGGATGTAGCTGAGTACAAAATGCCTCAGCTCAAGGCCCAGAATGTCAAATAAGAAAACCAAACAAAAAGACACTTGGAATCACAAACTGACATGCTCTTTGAAGTGCATGGGAGCTGAGTTTAAGAATACGTCATTTTTCTACAGTTAAAAGTGCTCTTCAGAGAAAATACACATTTTGGTTTATGGCAGTTACATTTTGTTTTCATTGTCAGCTTTTGGCTGCTTTCTGTCACTCTTGAGACTGCAGTGGGCAGCATGAATGAGGCAGAAAACGCAGGATTACTAATATTTTTGGAGTTGGAGAAAACTTTGTTTTTTTTTTGAAGCAAGGATTGAAAATGGGGATTTCCCAAAATTAATGCCAAGTCAAAAACGAAAATAAAAATCCATTACTAAAATGAAAACAAATAACCACAACATTGCGACAAGTTTGGCAAAGAGCAGATTTCTTTACCAGAAATCTAGGAGGTGAATTTCTCCCACTGGCTGAATAAGACCCAAGCAAGTGCAGTATGGTTCAAAAATCTGCCAGTGTGGAGCAAAAGCTGGTGTGACTGGAACATCACACCTGCCTGTCTGGTCCTCGCCACATGGGCACAGTGAGAGGGAACTGACCCTGGGCTTTGTGTGAAGCCTGCACAGCTTTGTTCTCTCATGAGCACTTGGGAGAGGGAGGGGGCAGCTGTCCATCCAGGAAGCCCCTTCAGATCAGAGAGAAGGGACAAGATTGGGGATACAGCTCAGCACTACAGCACCTGCCTGGCAAGCACAAGGTCCTGAATTTGAATCCTAGTACCACCCCTGCCCCCCAAAAAGAGAAGAAAAGCAAGCAAGCAGGCAGGCAGGCAGGCAGGCAGCTAGCTGGGGTTTCGCCCTCATGGACTGAATCCCCAACCCAGTCAGTCACAAGATGACAGGCGACTTGAGACCCTCACTAGGAGAGCTTGGGCAGAAGTGCTCCAAGGGCGTCTAGGACAGCACAATAGAGCTGCAGCACAGGACACGGCCCTTCCCAGCAGCCTTGCCCATTGCCTTTGAGACTGACTCACTGTTTGTCACTTCTAACAGCTTAGAGAGGGCGGGAACAGCCTGTGGCCTGGCACCCAGGCAGAATGGGAGTGGGGAGCGGTTTGCTTCGGGCTCCCTCCCCACAACTCTTCCCCCCGCAGCTGAAGAACCCTCTTTGAGGAAGACATCTTGCGCCAGGGCCAGGCTGCAGTGGGACATGGGACACGGGATTGCTCTGCAGCCTAAGCGGGGAGCCACCTGCTCCCCTCTCCAGGGCTGTGGAATACAGGTTCTATGATCCAGGCCTTGGATGAAGATTCCTGCACTCTCACTTGGAGCTGTGTCCTCCAGGGGTTATGGGAACAGGGCAACGGACCAGCTTCTTTCAGAGGGCAGAAACTCAGCTGCTGTCCTGGAAGAGCCTCATCAGGATTCCCGTACCCCTATTCAGAGGAAACAGGAGGCATGGGGTTCCCAGGACAGCTTTCAAATCCAAGACTTTGCAAAGGGAGCAAGGTGGAGTGGCGTCCTCTGCATGGGACTCGGAGCACCTCCACTGTCCCTGAACGGTATAGACAGAAATATCCAAGCCTGCCACAGTGCCACTGCCAGAGGAAGCCCGGTAAACCAGCGGGGCTTCCTCTAGGAGTGTGCAAGACCCATCAGGCTGAGGCTGCATCCACTCAGAGTCCCGGTTGAGCTGCCTGCACAGCCACAGGTACGGCTTTCTAGGAACCACAGTCACATCCTCCCTCCCTGCCACAAGTCCCTCCAGCTGACTCGTGGTCCAGTGTACTTCCCTCGACTTCTCAAGTCCAGCACTTCTGCTCTCCTTTCAGACCAGCATGGTATCTGCATGGGGAAGCATCAGGATGAAGCTTCAGGCAAATGTTGAAAACTCCCAAATCAGTCTGGGCAGGGTATGGTACACCTGTAGTCCCAGCCACTCAGGGCTGAGGCAGGAGGATCCCCAGAGCCTGGGAGTTGGAGGTCACCTTGTGCAAGAGCACAATACTCCGTCCCCTACACAAACAGCTGGGAGTGATGGGGTATACAGGCCTGTAATCTCAGCTGCTCTAGAAGCTGAGGCAGGATTGTAAACTGGAGGTCAGGATGGGTAATTTAGTTGAGACTCTGTCTCAAAACAAATGTTTTTTAAGGTTAGGGGTGTACCTCAGTGGTATAGTGCTCCTAGGTGCCACCCCCAGTACCACCACAAACAAGTGAAACCAAAGACACACAAAGAGCTGGACAGTGTCTCTGGAAGTCAGGCTCACACTGCCACAGAGGCCTCCATAAGGACCAGGCTTCTGCACGGATCCTGCAGAGAGTTAGTTGTAGAGAGCCACAGAGGCAGTCGGTGGCAGCAATAGCAGAGTTAGGGCAGAAAGATAGCTCTCGATCCCATACAAGTCCAAGCACAGTGCTCGCTGGCTAAGAGCTGGGGCAGTGGGGGCAGATGGCAGGTGGCTCCCTGGGCCCAGCCCTGCCTTCCCCACTCACAATGAGTGCAGGTGCCGCTTTCTCAGGGTGACCTGAGGACCAGTCTAAGCAACCAGACAAGCACCGCTCTCAGGAGGGGAGAGGTCTGGGATGTCGGGCTCCCTTCCTAGCCAGGCTTGGATGTTAAATTGAGAGCTGCCTCCCGCACAGCAGCGAGGGTGCAATTTGCAGCCTATTTGGTGGAGAAAGGAGGCTTTGAGCACTAAAGGCAAATGCCCATCTGAAGGTAATTATGAAAGGGGCTGGGAAGACTTCTGGGCCTGGCTGTCTGTGTAGCCCCTTTCCTGAGCTGCAGGCCCTGCCGGCCACATAGCTGGGGCCTGACGTCACCTGCTGGCTGTTCCCAGGCCAACAGGAAGCTGGTCCTCAGATCCCGGGTGGAAGTCCCTGTTTATGCTCAGCAGAGCTGGTCTCATTGGAGGGGCTCTGGGTGGGGAGCAGCCACTGGCATCCAGCGTGGTGTTGGCGGAAGGAAGGGTCTTCAATTCAGGGCACACGCAAAGGCACATTCCTTTCAGCCACTCCATCTAGCGACACCCTGGCTCTGACCACGCCCCTGGTCAGCCAAATGGTGAGAAAACAAACAGGCTTTGATTCCTTTGTGAGTAAATCAAAGACAGCTCAAACTCACTTGAAGAGAGAGAGAGGGAGCTGGAGGGAGACCACTCTATCAAGCTGTTTACTACTTTCAACAAACAGATCTGATCAATCCAAAAGAAGAAATAAATGTGGGGTTAGCTTCAGAACCTCTGGAAACACTTAGAAGCACTTCTGGCAGCTGCTGCCGGCTACGTGATGTCTCTGAAGTTAACCTTTACAAACCAACCTTGTGAAGTAAACAAAACAAAGCAAAACAAAACCCTTCGATACTCTTGCCTTGGAAAGGGAAAAAAAAAAAGACTGCTTGCCAAATTCAAATTTAGCTTGGCAAATTCCCTGCCAAAGTAACCATGAACAATCCAGCCCTTGAGTGAAGTTATAAAGAAAGTATTTCCCCTGACTCTGGGGAGAACGCCTTTCATGTGACCTCCAAACCATGCTACTTGTTTTAAAGGTACACCAAACAAACTTGTCTGTCCCATTTTTTGGTGTTTTCCTTGCTCCAAAACTATTCCAGGCATGGGACTGCAAGGTCAGCAGGGTGGATACCCTGGGACAGGACCGGGTCCCAGGAATTTAGGACACAGACCCTGTTCTGCTCATGGAGGCCAATGCTTGCACTCAGGGTGCAAAGGTGGGGTGCTATCACCTCATCTTCGCTTTCTAAATTCAGGCTACCCCTTGTTGACTTCCCAGACAGCAGCACAAAACCCTCACTGCCTGCCAGGGGACACCGAGGCGCCTCTCTCTGTGTGCCCAGACTACAGCCAACAGTAGCAGAGATGCTGCCTCTGAGTGGAGCCGCTCTACAATCCCAATCCACTGCTCCCCAAAACATTTTCAAGCAGCCACCCCCTGAGAAGATGCCCACTCACACTGGGTGGAATTCTATGTGGTCCTGAATTTCTGGGTAAATCTCAACCATGATGCACAGCAGCTCATTTCCTGGCAGCACCGGCCAGGCTACAGGAGAGGAAAACAAAGCAGCTACTCACCTATCTGGTCCTCGGGGATCAGTGACTCGATGGGGGGGTCCAGCTCCGAGCTCTGGGCCAGGTAGTTCTTGACCTGGGTCATGAACTGCCGGATGGTCTGCAGCATGTCCGTGCTGGACACGTGGCACTCTCGGTTCTCCAGCAGGAAGCTCACATAGTCCTGCACCAGGCAGCCAAAGTAGGTGCACTTGTCCCGGGACAGCTCCGCAATCCTGCGTACCATGCGCTTCTCGGGGGTCATGAAGGAGCTGAACACCCCGCTCACCTTACGCAGTTGGGTCTTCACCAGCTTAGGCAGCACGAAGGAGCTGTGCCGGCTCTTTTTGGACTTGATGGGGGGCGCCATGGTCTCCTGGTCGCTCTCGCCCTCGTAGTCCTCCAGGCTGCTGTTGGTGTCCCCCTCGTAGCCGTCCAGCGGCATGCTCCGCTCGAACTCCAGCGAGTCGGAGGAGGAAGTGGAAATGCTCATGTCGCTCAGCCTCTGCCGGCCCCCATGGCACAGGGGCCGGACTGCAGAGGCGGGAGGAGGCTGGGCCCTTGTGCAATCGCCGGCGGGCGGGGCCCCACCTGCGCTGCCAGCTGTGCCCTGCTCCGGCTCCGGTTCCAGGCCAGGGCCGGGCGCCCGGGCAGTCAAGGTCTTGGCGCTGTTCTCCGCCTCCAGGAAAGAAGCCTGCTTCTTCAGCCGGGGTGGAGGGATGGGGGTTGGTTTCCTTCCCAGTGTGGCTACGTTCTCCTGCACGTCACAGCCAACTGTCTGTGGCATGCCCAGCCGGGTTTCAGTCCCAGACAGCCCGGGGCTGGGGTGCAGAGTCTGGACAGCGGGTGGTGGAGGCCGGGGTGGCGGGGACCGAGGCCTCTCAGAGCCATTTGCCGGTAGAGTCCTTGCGCTCGGCCGCTTCGGGCCGGCCCCCACGTCCTGGCTGTGCACTTGCAGAAAGAGCGGGTTAATGAAGCACAGGGCCCCGTTGGTCTGGCTGCACTCCAGCTCTGAGGGCGTCCTGGGCTTGATGGCGTGCACCCCGTTGATGAGGCAGAGCTGGCGCCAGGGGGCTGGGTAGAGGCCGTCAGAGGGGGGAGGCCTATGGGGAGGTGGAGGGTTGGGGGGGTTGCTGTCAGCGGAGGAGCTCCAAAAATCTGAAAGTCATTATCAGTGAACACAAGAATGTAAATACAGTGCCCTGGGCCGTTCCTTCCTTCAGAAGTCAGAGAGCCCACAGCTGGAGGGGAGGGGAGGGGAGAGGAGGGCAGGGCCGGGTGGTTTTGCTTTTTTTTTTTTTTTTTTTTGCTTTTATTGCATTCCCTTACTGGAAAGGGCAAACTGGCTGCCAGGCCGGGGCTGTGAGTTCACAGGAGGCCCCAGGGGCCTCTCACCTTCAAAGCCCTTGAGCAGCTAAACACAAAGGCACATGCCTGTAAATTCAGCACTCCAGGATGCTGAGGCAGGAGGATCAAGACCAGGCTGGGCTACATAGTCCAAGGTTAGCCCAAAATGTGCAGTGAGACCCTATCTCAAAAAACCAAAGCCCTGGGGAGAAGCTGGCTTGCTGTACCCAGGTGCATGGGAAGGGATACTGAACTGTATGGGGATAAACTCAGGAAAGGCCCCTGGGGCTCCAGGGCAGGTTGCTCTCTAGCACCAGGCCGGCCCTCAGGACCCTGCCGCCCTATCCCAGCAGTCCTCCCAGGATGCAGACACAGAGGCAGGGATGCAGATGTGGGGTGTACTTGGCCACCAGGCAGCTGCCAGCCGAGGCCGACTTCCCCTTTGAGGGCAGGGCCAGCAGCTGGGTCCGGGTATTACACAATGGGCCTGGCTTTTACACACTCAGCATTAATCCAGAATCCGACAGGGCGAGTACAGGTGTCATCAGCAAAAGGTCAAGGGAGACAGCGTATGCAAATAGGACGGCAGCTTCAACCCCTTATCCCTGTGGTTTGGGTTCTCTCCTTCCCAAATCCTAGCACCTCCGGATCCAGGCTATAAATAGCTGCGCTCCATGCCCCGTACTCCTCTCAGACAGGCCCTGGCTTTCTTCCTGTGGTCTGTTCTCTCTCCTGGGGGCTGGAGAGGGGGACCTGGGAGCCAGGGCCCTGCTAAGTTTGTGCAGTGACAGGTAGGCCAATGGCACCCTGGGAGGCCTGCATGGCCTCACTACCTTCCCCCACCTCCGTACCCCCAACCTAAGGTCCAAGGGCCACAAGGACCTCTGAGCACCAGAGTATGTGACTGAGGAACTCTGGGTTCAACAGTACCTAAACGGGAAGACAAGCTCGGCTCCATTAGTAGGAAACATTTAGTGCCTAAGGGTGCTTTTTTACTGTGAATTTTTTAAAAAAATTTTCATTCATTCATTCATTTTTGAGGTGGGTTCTCCCTATATATTTCAGGCTGGCCTTCAACTCCCGATGATTGTCCTGCCTCAGCCTCCCCAGTGCTGGGATAATAGACATACAACACCAAGCTCTTCTTCATTGTTACTTTCATTGGAATCTAAGTTCAGACTGCATGTTTCTGACTTGAGGGCTACGAGCATAGAAGAACTCTGGGATCAGATACCTAGTGTGAAAAGCAATGTAAAATATACTTTTAATACATTTTTGAATTTTTTTCTAGTACTTGAACCCAGCACCTTCACATGGAGCTACACCCCTAAGCCCTTTCTTCCTTTTTTAGTCTGAGTCTCACTGAGTTGCTGAATTGCTAGGGCTAAATTGTAGGGCTCAAACTTGCGATCTTTCTGCCTCAGCTTCCCAAAGTATCACCATGTCAGGCTTTTGCGGTTTTTTTTTTTTCGTACTGATAACATGATAAAACAATCATAGTTTGGATATTATATAAAATAAATTATTAAATTAATTTAGCATGTGTTGGGTTTTTTTATTCTTTTCCCCCTTTTCTGTTCATGTTTTAAATGTAGTCACAAGAAGATGTCAAAGTCCTTGTGGACCTGCCTGGTGCTTCTGTGGGTCCACACGGCGGGCTTTGGAGAACCCAGTCTTCCGTCTCCTGGGTGCTTTGGGTTTGCCAGGGCTGTAAGACTTTCAGGCCCCATCAGGCCTGGATCCTGGGTTTGCTTGCCTGTCCTTCATTCCCAAAGACCCAGAGCATTAGGGGTGAGTGACCTCATTAACCATTCTGAGCCTCCGTGTGGCCACAGCACCTGCCTTGTGGAGGAGCCTAGGAAAATATTTCTTGGCCAAACAGTGAGGTGCAGGATCTTAAATGCACTGGGTCAGCTGGGTGCGGGGATGCACACCTGGAACCTCAGCACTCAGGGGGCTGAGGCAGGAAGGTTGTGAGCTGGAAGCCAGCCTGAGCAATTTAACAAGTTCGAGTCCAGTCTGGGCTACACAGCGAGATCTCCCTCAAACAAACAAATAACATATAAATCAGTAAAATACAGTGGCTCCACCTTAATGGGGTAATGAGCACACTAGGACTCACCAGCTGAGTATCTATTTGTTAGACTTCATTTGCTCTGGTGAGTCAGCAGCCACCAGAGCAAGCTCATTTTGCCTTTATCTTTATATGACACAAGAGTTGTTGTTTAAGGAAGTCCTTTGGTACTAGCATTAAGCCTGGGCAATATGTAGCCAACAAGCCAGAGAAAAGTGAGACCCAGTGGATGCCAAGACCCCTATCACTAAGGGCTGGGGTGAGCTCAGTGGTATCACACCTGCATAGCATGCACGAGGTCCTGGGTTCCACTCTCAGCACTGCCTGTTTCCCAGCATTTGGGAGGCTGAGGCAGGAGGATCACTTTGAGTACAAGGCCAAGCCTAAACTACATAGTGAGACCCTGTCTCAAATTAAATAAATAAATAAATAAATAAATAATAAAAAGGAGAGAAAGCCCATACAGCCGTAATCTGGCCAACTGCATTAACACCAGGGAGTACATTAATCTCTTCAAAGGTGTGCAGAATTAGCCCCTCAAGAAGGCACATGGCTTTTCAGCAGTGACAACTCTCTGCTCTGCCTCTGCCTCGCTCTGCCTGCTGCCGTCCTAATACTCAGAAGGGCCGGGTACATAGGCCACTCCTCAAGCCTACCTGTATCTCAGAAACTCGGACTCCACAGGCTTCTCTGGCCAGGGAGGCTCCCTCAGCCTGACACCCACTTTAAATTGTTCAGATTACAGGAAAAGTCAAGGGGGGTGTACATAATTTCAACTGTCTGGGTCAGGTATCAGTTTCCAAGGCTGTAGAAATCCTGGTCCCGAAGCTGTCTCCAAATCCCATGGCCCCTGCTTGTGAACCTCATCAAGGAACGAAGCCCCAAAATCTTAGGAGAAACCCCTGCCACACAGCAGGGAAGCTCGTGGAAAAATGAAGCTTGCAAAAGCCAAGGGCGAGCTGTGTGACCCGATCCTTCCCAGCCACTGCCTGCCAGGATGGAGGGAGGCCTCTGGGGATGTCGGCAACAGGGCAGAAGGGGAAGCCAGTGCCCGCTAGCTGAACAAGGTCCCTGGCAGGGTGGAGGTGGGGAACGCAGACTGGGGACATCTTCCTGTCAAATCCCTCCAGCACACGAGTACTGCCTACACCCACTGGGCCTGTGTGGGAGAGATGCGCTCTGTGCTGGGTCCTTTTGCCTCAGTAGGGCACCACCAGAGGGGAAGTCCCTGATCCCAGCTGGGCCATACACATCCAAACTCCAATATGTGGGTGGAACCAAATTATCGAGAGGAGAAGCTGGGGAGGTTTGGGGATGACCCCTCAATCCCGGTTTTCCTAAGAGCTGCCTGAACATTGGACCTGGTAAAAGAATCCCAGAAAAGCCTGACATGGTAGTATACACCTGTGATCCCAGGATTCAGGAGGCTGAGGCAGGAGGATTGCTGTGAGTTCAAGGCAATCCTACACTACACAGAGAGACCCTGCCTCAAAAACAGAAAACAAAAAACTTCCCAAAAAGCAGAAAGTGTGATTCTGGGACCTCACAGACTGGAGGATTGGGTTTGACACAGCTCAGAGCACAGATTTTGTACAGAGCCAACCACTTACTTAGTCCCAGTTGGGCCAGTTCTTCAAGCTGAGCCTCAGTCTTGGCTGTTGAAATGGCATAAGGCAACTTCAAGGTGAACGGCAGGACATCCCTGATTTTGCAGAGAAAAAGAACACTCATCATCGCCTGTCCAGTTCCCGTCTTTGTGCTCACTTCACCTGGGTGAAGGGTGGGCACCAAGCCGAGCCCGGCCGAAGACAGAGCTCGCACCACACCCTGTCCTGAGACACTTGGAACGGCCGCAGTGGAGCCCACTTGGTTCCAGGGCCTGTGGGGTCCAGGGGAGAGGAGGCTGGACATAGCTGCTATCTGCACTCAGCATCGATGATACTTGCAGTGGCACCCGCCCCGCCCTCCAGCTGGGGACCCGCACTTGCTGATCGGCCAGGTGCCTGTTGGTGTTAGGCGCCAGCTCCCAGAGCTGGAATGCTCCATGCTGCCCTACAGCTCGGCTATTAGCCCCTTGCCAATCCGGAGGTGCCCGTGAGCAGCTGCCAGTCCGCCTTGTGACACTTTCTAAGGAGAGCCAGGCCTCGTCCAATGCGTGCAGAGGCAAAACTTTCTGTATCCCAGGCTGGGGCTGCTCCAGTTTCACAGCCAGCACACTCGGAGGGCCTCAACCTATCACGCACACTGTGTGTTCTCAGGACTGGGGGCTCTGGGACAGCAGCTGTCCCACATCTCGGGACCAGGGACACCTGCAGCACAGAGCAGCGCACACTCTTGGGAGGAACGGGGTGGCATTTGTGCATTACCTTTCTGGAGAAAGTGTTTTCAGGATAAATGAAGAAAGGAAGAAAGGAATAAATGCTCAGTAACAATGACAACTCATGGAAGGAATATCAGTTTTCCGGGTGGTAGTGTTAGTCTTACGAAGAATGAGACATTCATTCACTCAACAAATATTTATGACTGTCTAGGATGCTTGCTCAAGAGCTGAGACAAAATACAATACACAAATAGGCCACTTAAAGACTACACAGATATGGGGAGGGTACTCGTGCCATGGATAAAGGGGGCATAAGGAGCCTATAAAGCGGTAGGCACCTGTGATCCCAGCACTCTGGGAGCCTGAGGCAGGAGGACTACAGGCAACTTAGCAGTGAGGCCTTGTCTCAAAATTTAAAAATGGGAAAAAGGGGTGGGGGTGGAGCTAGTGCAAAGGCCCTGGGTTCACACAGCTTGTAAAGGTAGTGCTGGCAAGATAGGGCCTCATGAACAGCTGGCCCTTAAAGAGGCATGAAGCCAGAGAGAAACCCCAAAGGCCAACATTCCAAAAGGGGACAGCAGGTGCCAAGGCCCTGGGGTGGGAGAGGGTCCAGCCCTCAGGGAAGATGGCAAGGGGACGGCAGCAGCTGGAATGAGGGGAGGACAAAGCCCGGCACTTCTGCTTGTGCTCCATGATCACAAGTTGCCTTGGCAGTTTGCCAAGACAAGAATGATGAGGCCAAAGGACTTGTTTACAATATGATTAGTGAGGCACTGGGACGGGACAGATTACATCTGGGCGGCTGCAGAATTCCAGAACCTGCCAAGCTGCAGACTGAATGAAAAACTGAGCTGTGAAATCAATGAAAAGAACAAAACACGGGTAGTTGGACACTAGTGCATCCCTGCAGCGCCATTCACCCGACATCAGGAGGCTGCCGCGGCCGCCTGCGTATCCACCTGTCACCCCTGCCTGTCCCCAAATGTGGGCACCCTTCTGCTCGCCCCCTTGTCTGCTGGAGATGGAACAGCTGCAGCCATAAGGGTGGCCTCTTCTTTTCTTTCTTTTTCATTTTATATAATTTTTTTTTGAAACATTGTCTCACTAGGTAGTTCACTGGCCTTGAATTCTGTGATCCCCTTGCCTCAGCCTCCCTGGGATTAGACCCCTGTGCTACCACCATGCCAGGCAGGCACCCTGACCTGGCAGGGACACAGAACCAGACCTTTGCCCGACCGTGGTTCCCTGCGAACATGTGACTATGTGGCCGGAACAACACAGGTAAAATCTATTTCTCCAAACAACAATGAAACCAGCCCATGCATATTCTGAGCTTTTACTGTGCTCAGTGCAGAACCTTTGGCCTGGACGGCACCTGACTGGCTTGGGTTTCCTTAATGACAGGTGACAGCAAGCCACATGGGCACCCTTAATGAGCAGCTGTAGGCTTTGATCTGCTAGAAAATTAGATGCTGTGCTTGTGTCCTCAGCTCCTGCACCAGCCAAACTGTCCCGGCGTCTACACACACAGTGCTCACACAGGGCAGTGGGACGCTGCCTCCTTCCTGCACGCTATTAACGAGAGAGGCCCGGATCTGAAGCTTGCACAGCAGACAAAAAAGCCACCTTCTTAAATATACAAGTCGCCCACAAGAGTCTCAGTGTGTACACAGTCTAGATTTGTTTTTCTCCTTTTTGAACAGGGTTTCACTGTGTGGCCCTTGTTACAAAATAAATGCTTAAGACAGTACTACTACTAATAATATGTGGTGACACATCCCTATAATCCTAGCCTACTAGGGAGGCTGAGGCAAGAAGATCTCAAATTGAAGCCAGTTTGAGCAATTTAGTGAGATCTTGTCTCAAAATGAAAATAGAAATGACAGGGATCAATTTCCAGTACCACAAATAAAATAAAAGAGTAATTTTTAAAAAAAAAACGTTTCTATGACAGAACTTGGGGACTTCCGGGAGAACATGGCGGATAGATAGCAGCAGCTTCGGAGGCTCTCTGAGAAACCGCACTTAAAATCCAGGAATGGTGCCAGGCGAGAAGTCCTAAGCAAGGGGAGATATACTTTGCTGACCCAGGAATGAACTAAACTAAGAGAAACCAACTGGAAATGCAATCCCGGTAATATAACAGGAACAGATAAGGTCTCAGTGCGGAAGCTGGAGCCTGCACCACTGGAAGCAGCGATTTGAATTTCCTGCAGCTGCTGCTGTGTCCCAATCAGCACGGCAAGGAGAGAGGCGTGAAAGCTCTGAGAATGGGAAGCGGTGAATGGAGTTGAGAGCGGGACTGGCCGAGAGCCCTGCATCTACCTACAGTGAGTGAGTGGATCGGGGACCCTTCCATAGAGTAGGAGGCTTCAGCAAAGGACATACTGGGACCGGGCAGACTAGCCGGAACAGGGTGCTGCAGTCACATATTCCCCTCTCAAGCAGGATTGGTGGGGAATGCCTGGCTTGGGTGACACTGCTGATTAAGACCCAGTAAGTTAGCCCAAACCAGGTCCCAGCACCTGGAGGTGCACCCTAGCAGTGCAGCCTTTGGTAGGTTGACCTGGAGGGGCGGGCCCAGCATAGGCTGCCCAGGTCTGTGCCTCCCTAGTGCACTGCAGTGGGTGGGAACACCTAGCTGGCACAATTCAAACAAACTGTAGCCAACAAAGAAAGAAACTGGGCCTCCTATATTTGCTTGTATAAAAGGAACAAAAAATATGGGAAGAGGGAGCAACAAGAAAGGGTCCTCGGCCCCCAATTCTGAGAAACATGCAATATCAGACGCGGCACCAATAAACATAAAGTGATATCTCCAGAGCCTCATAGACGAATTTAGGAATGAAGTTATTAACGACCTGAAGCAAGATATAAGTAGAATAGTTAGAGAAATGCTAAGCCCTGCCCAAGAAAAAACAGATGGTGGAATGGAAGAACAGAAAAAAAGGGGAGAATTGTTTGATGGAGAAAATAGAGAAAACATAGAATACATGAAGCAGGTTCAAAGAGATTACCAGGAAACTAAAACTCTATCGAAAACTGGCATAACAGCTTGAAAGAAACTAAGGATAGATTATCTGAACTGGAGGGCAGATTTGTAATATGGGAGCATGAAATGAAAAACTTCATAAAAATAACAAAAAAACAAACAGTAACAATACAAAGGCTAGAAGATGATAAGAGGATCTATAATTTAAGAATTAAGGACATAAAAGAAGAAGTAGGGACACAAACAAATGCACTACAAAAGCTATTCACAGAAATAATCCAAGAGAATTTCCCTAATTTAGCAAAAGGTAAAGAAACTCAGATGTATGAAGCATACAGGACCCCAGCCACCTGTAACTCAAAAAGAGCTACACCCAGGCATATAATAATCAAAATTCCAGAAATCCAATATAAGAACAGAATATTAAAAGCTGTCAGAGACAAGAAACAGATCACTTACAAGGGAACACCCATCAGAATTACAGCAGACTTCTCGGCACAAACCATCAAATCATGAAGAGCGTGGGGTGAAATAATTCAAGCTTTGAAAGATAAAACAAGGTGCTTCCAGGATAAAGAGGAACTAGGGGAATTTGCAACCACCAATTCAGCTCTACAGAGAATACTGCAGGATATTCTAAAAAAGGAAAATACCAAGATTCCAGAAATAGTGGCAGAGAGGCCACAATGAATGGAGCAGAAAGTGAAATGAAGAAGACAAACTGACAACAAACGACAGAAAAAGATCTCAACAGAAATGAGGCAGAGAAGATCGGATGGTAGAAACAGCTATTTTGGAGAAAACAAGACATTATAATAGCTAGTGCTGATTTAGTATCATCTTGTTTTGAAGTCCCATCAAACTTGTATTCTTCTGCCTCCATCGGTCTTAAAAGGTTGTATCTTATTGGATTTTATTATATATGATAATATAAGCAAAAACTGTTATAGACAAGGAGATTCTACAGAAACCACTGTTCATTTTCTGTTAATTGGTTCTAAATACCCTGTAATAATGTCATTCTCTTGAATGGTTTTATAGTGTCTTGATATATTTGGTGCTACAGTATACTCAAAGATTTCAAGGAAAGAGACACTATGGTAACTATTTTTATGTCAGGATATCTTGTGGTGAAACACTATTTTGCTTAATTGGTTATGTTTTGACCTTTGCTGTTCTGTTGTTATGCCATCTCTTATCTCAATCCCCCCCCTTTTTAAATTATTTGCTTTTTTATTTTTATCTCTTTAATTAAGGGAAAAATAAATAAAAAATAGCAGATACATTATAGTAACCTACTTTGATTTCCTATTAATTTGATTTGAAATCCTGTATTGCCCTCACCATCTTGTTTTGACTGATTTTCCCCTATTCTGTTTTGCTTGATAGTACCAAGTTCAAAAGTATAGGCAACAACTGTGAAGACAATTAGATTCATTATGATGCCCATTCTGGTTGACTGTTATCTTCTTTTAAAGTCCGGTAATGTCTCCAATGCATTGGTTTTATTTTTTACTGTTTTGTTCAATTTTATTATAACTGGCAATTCTTAAAATAGCAAGAGGCAGTATGGTAACCATTGTTGATCACCTTATATTTTGTTTTTACATTATCTATTATGTCCATCCTTTTGATTTGGCTCTGTTCTGATATGCTTTAATTTTGTAACTTGAACAACTATTTCTAAGATGAGAATATGTTATCTATCAACTAGTGATTTCTTACTGTTTATTTTTTTAAATTTTATATTATTTGTACCCTTTTTCTGTTTTTTTCTTTTTCTCCTTAAAAAAAAAAGGTTTCTATAACTCACACCCTCAACATCCTGAGTTGAGTCTATTTTTCCTATAGACTAAAACAGGTGCTTTAGACTATTTGCTTGAGGGTTGATTCTTCCAGATTTTAAAAAATTGACAGTGACCTTTAAGTATTACGGGCTTGCAACACAGGTTCCCTTGTGTGTGCACACATGTATACCCATCTTTGTACATATGCGTGTGTGCCTGTGTGTGTTTACTACCAGGGGACAGCATGCACAACCAGTGCTGAATGCACACGCCCAGAGCGGCCACAGTTCCAGACCGGACCCATCCACCCATCACACCACCCAGTGGACTCTGGCACAGCCTGACCTCACCTGCTGATGCAGTAGAAGGCGATGAGCCGGAATAAATCTGCAAAGCTGATTCCTGAGCCTTCCAGGGAAAAGGCTGAAAGAGAGGGCAGAGAGTTGCTGAGTACCCTGGGTGCCCTCTCTGCAGGTCGTGGGTGGATGCTGACCCGAGCCGGGTCCCGAAATCTCCGCGAGCTAGTGCTAGAGAAACCACTAGCACACATGCACCATGGTCTATCACGTTAGGCAATGGAAGTTTATCTGGGGTAGACTGACTTCTCCAAGTCTTGGTTTTCTCATCTGTAAAGTGGACGTGCATAGAACTTCCCTTGTCCCCACCCAGCAGGGGGAAGAGTGGGAACTAGAATTTTTGAACAATGAAATGGTCTCTGTGAAAGCAATGCACAGGGATATTAGGTGGTTAAGCTACACTGCACAGAAATCACGGTCAAACCTCTGCGAGTTTCCACAGCGAGTCTTTCTCCCCCACACCCCAGCCCTGGGGACCCAGTAACGGCCCAGAGAGGCCTCATTGGGACTAAGGACTGAGGTCCCTTGAGAGGACCAAGGAGGGAACAGCAAGCACCTTGGGCTGCAGGGACCCAGATGGAGCGCAGGGAACCCCAGAGGCAGCAGGCCGGGGGCTCCAGCCATCACCCAAGACGGCGACACCACGGAGATGGGCACCATGGGGCTGGCAGCTCAGAACTACCAGATCGGCCTACACAAGTTCATCAGTGCCCCGGCTAGCAATTCTCTGTGGTTTTCCCTTTTGACTCTGCTGAGGGCTGAACTCAGGGTCTCCCCCACACCCTGTCTGCTGTGGGCCAGCTCACGACTGGTTCTGTGGCTATGACGGTGACCGTCTTCCTCGTGGGAGTGGTGCGTGAACAGCACCTGGCTTCACTCTTTCACCCCCACCCCCATGAGTGATTGCCCTGCCCATCCACAAAAGATCTGTCTCCCTGCTTCCTATTATCAGTCCTTTGTTTTGCCCTTTACTTATAATTTGGGTTTCTCATATAGGAGAAACCACGTGCTATTTAAACTTGTGTGTCCAATTCATTTCACTTAATGTTATGGTCTCAAGGGGCATCTGTTTTCCTACAAATGACTCAAATTTTCCTTCTTTATGGCAGAATAGTATTCCCTTTTAATTTTATTTTGACATAGAGCCTTGCTAAGGCGCTCAGTTGCCTGGGCTGGTCTTGAATTTGCATTTGCAGTCTTCTGGCCTCGGCCTCTCAAATAGCTGGGATTCCACCATACCCAGTCGAAAGGCTTTATCTCCTGCATGTGTCCGCTAGTTTCCTCCAGGTGTAGTTCCAAGTTCCACCTCTGGGCGGACTCAGATCCTTTGCCTACTGACCACCTACCTGCGCTCTGGGCTCCTCGGGGGCAAGAGCTGCCCTGAATGCTACATCCCAATGACACTTGGGGTTCCACGGCAAAGTCCTAGCTGCCCAGGCCTGGGACTGTGCATGCACATGCACAGGCAGCTGCTGACGGTGGGGTCAGCGCAGAGGCCCCCATTTCCCAACCCCCCCATGGAGCATGCGCGCTGCCGCGCACTTACTGTAGGCGCTCTCTTTGATGGCGAACTCCCTGAGCGGGGCTCCCAGCTCGCTGGGGAGGCGCAGGCACAGCACCTTCCTCTGCACCTTGGCTGACTTGCGCACTAGGAAGATCTGCAGGCAGGGGAAAGGAAGTGGAATCATGCTTAGGGACGTCACAGAGGCTGTTCCTTAGGCAAGCAATTTTCCTGAACTCAGGTCCTACCCCTCCGCACCGTTCACTGCATCTTGACATACACAGTTTCTATACACAGCTCACACGGCTCTGTCCAGGGCGCCGAGTTGGGAGTTCACCTGGCTCAAGGTATAATTAAAACGGGAATCTGAATATGCATATATGCTGGCTGTACACTGCACAACTCCAGGATGCACCATTCGCACGAATCAGATGGCGCTTCCTGGGGCAGGCAGTGTGACTCCTGGTTCCCTTCTGCAGCACACGATCGTGTCCTGTGTCCTGACTTCTCTTTCTTCTGGATCTGGACATGCGGGTTTCCTTTTTCTCCGCTGACCCACTGCTCCTCCTCACGTTCGGCTCCCAGCTCCTAAGTTCTCCCTAGGATAGGGGGCAGCGGGCATGGTTCCAGTTGCTGGGTGAGGAGTGCGCCGTGGAGCCCTTGATCCTGCCCCATTTTCAAGAAGGCAAGCCTCATTTCGAAGTGAGACAGTGTTGCCGGGTTAAGTGCACGGGGTCTGCTGCTGGGACACTCCACAGCTCAGCTTCCAGCCCTCTGGTTGGGACAGTCGGACAGCTACAGGCCGAGTTTTCTCCCTGCCTTCCCAACCCATTCACTCTCCTAGTACTGGGGACTGAACCCACAGAGCACTGAGCTGCACCCCCAGGCCTTTTAATTTTTTTTTGAGGCAGGGTCTTGCTAAGTTGCCAGGCTGCCCTTGAATTTGCAGTCCTCCTGCCTCAGCCTCCTGAGGAACTGGGATGACAGGTGCGTGCAGTGTGCCTGGCCTCCCGCTCTGGTCCTTAGTTTCTATATGCATTCATTTGACCTGTGATTGACACTGCACGGCCTTTTGTCTGGAAGCAGACATCATCCACAGTGGTGTTCCCTGGATGGTTCTGTGACTATGACAGTGTTTTCTACTCCACAACACTCAGTACGTCATGCAGCCACCTGTGGCCAGTGAGCTGTGATGGTGTGGCCAGTGCAGCTGAAGAACTGGATTTCTAATTATTTACTTTAATGAATGAGAGTTTCAGTCACCAACCCCAGTGTGGTGATGCACCTCTGTAATTCCAGCACTGTGGGAGGCTGAGGAAGGAGGGTTTAAACCCAGGCTAGGAAACATCAATTTAGTGATACCCTGTCTTGAAATAAAATATAAGAAAAAGGGCTGGGGATATAACTCAGTGCAAAGGCCCTGGGTTTCCACCTTAGTAACTCAGGAGGAAGAAAAAAAAGTAAATAGCCACACAGGGCAAGAGGCTATAGCACTGCTGAACAATGTATCTCTTTAGGGACATCCGAGGGATCTCATGGGTCTTGGGTAGAGCGTGGTTGAAGAAGCAGACTTTAGGTTTCTATGGAAAGCCACAGGCCAGGTGGAGAAAGCAAGGCTGCCCCAAGGCCGAGCAGCCCAGCTGTGGTCCTGGGACGTCTAAAGGCTGAGTCCCCAGTTGGACAGTGGGACCCTGCAGGCTCAGGAGGTGGCTGGGGACCCCCAACCAGCCAGCCCTCAGGGCTCTGACACTGCCCTTCCTCCCTGTCACACAGATGTCCTAGTGTTAGTGGTGCCTTGCACTACCCTGGAGTCCAGCAGTGGAGACACAGAGCGGTCACTCAGCCTCCGTCCCTGTGGGCTGTCACAGTCTCCAGAGCCTCTTTGCACGATGACAAAGGTCACAGCGGAAACCGTGCTACCAACAGGAACATCTTTCCAGAACCAACTGCATGCTACTCTTGGGGCAACTTGATCCCCCTGCCTCAACCTTCCCCAGGCCCGCATCTCACCCCGGGTGGCTGTGCCTGAAGGACCTTGGCTGCCTCCTCCTCGCTCAGACCCAGCTGCAGCCAGACAGGGTGCGTGTGCAGAAGCCGGTCCAGGATGCTGAGCCTGCCGGACAGGCTGTCATAGCCGGAGTCCCGCAGGCTGCCCCTCGCCTCCTTATCCTCGGGGAAGGGGTCCTCCTGGTGTCTGACCATGCTGGAAGAGAGAGGAAGGGTCAGTGGCTGTCAGCCAGGTCCCCATGGATGAGACCATCCCTTGTTTGCTCCCGCTTGAGCTCACAGGGCGGGCTGTGTCAGGATCAGACCTGTCCTGGTTCACACTCACATCCTTAGAAACCTCTTGTGCTCAGAGGCCGGGTTTTGGAAGATGACTGAATTGGGGGCACCCTGGGTAGCCTGTGGTTAGGAGGTGGGGCTTGATCAGGCGAGACGTCCCTCCCCCTCCCCACTTCTCTTTCTGCTTCCTGATCATGATGATGTGAACTGGTTTCCTCTGCCAGGCCCTTCCATTGTGCTATTCCTTCCGTGGAGCTGGCCAATTATGGACTGATCCCTCTAAAACCATGAGCCCAAAGTGAATCTGTCATCCTTCACTTATGGGTGTCAGGATTGTGTCCCACTGACAAGAAAATGGCCAAGACCCCCCTTTCTGAACTAAGAGCTTTGAGGGAAGACAGGTGTGTTACTCAATTCTGTTTCCCTGACACTGAAGAGTACATTGAATGCAAGGGACCCAACTGTCCATCTCTAACCTGTTGTCAGAAAGTTCTGAGCACCCTAAACACATACTGCTTAGCTCAGGTCTTGTCTGAGCATGAGCACAGAGCCCTAAGTGTGAAACGGTACCCAGTACAGCAGCCAAGTGGTCCTAATGCTCAAAGCAGGAACACAGCCCCCTGCAGGGACAAAGTGCACTGGAGAAAACACTCATTATGCATCTGATCTGATGAGTGTGTTTTGCTTCTCTGGACCAAGCCAAATATTTTAATCACTTACATTCTTTATAATAAAACCCTGCAGTGGAATGCTGCCATACCATTCATAAAATCACACTGAGGCTATTCATGATGGCCCAAGGGTCCCTATGAGCAGATGGATGGATGAACAAACTATGGTCTGTCCTTTGAAAGGGATATTATCCAGCCATGAAAAAGACAGATGTGCTGACACAGGTAATCTTTGACAGATAGAAGTCAGGCACATAGGCCACATATAGTATGATCTTGTGACAGGTTTAGAGTAGCAGACCCACAGTGACAGACGGCAGCTCCATGTGGCCAAGGGTGGAGCGAGAGGTGATGGGACAGGTCCCAGGTTTCTTGGTGGTGGGTGGGGTGGGAGAAATTCTGGTCTCAGGTGGTAGTGAGGGTTGTACAACCTTGTGGACAGACTGAAGGCTCGGGGTGAGTCATCTTGAGAGGTGAGTTGGTAGTACATGAATCACAGCAGTAAGTAAAGCTTGTGGCCCTTGCTGGGGCCCATCCTCATCCTGGATGTGAGCCTTAATCCCCACTTACAAATGAGAGACCAAGGGCAGAAGTCACTGCAGGCCAGTGACAAGAGCCAGGAAGTGACTGAGCAACACCCAGAGTGAAGGTGGCTCTTTGGTCACTAATCACCCTGCACACCACACACCCATCTCTCTTACCCACGCCCCGTTGCAGCCTGTGTTCCCCCCCTGCACACCTGGTGTTTAAGAATAAGGATGGGGAGGCTGAGCCCCACGAGGGTACCCCCAGCACCAGGCTGCTCAGCCTAGGGTCCCTGGAGCAGCCGAGGACCTCAGATCTTGAGGTACTGCGCTTTCCTGGTGTACATGAGGCTCTGGACTGGACCTCCAGCACCCAGGCTCCCCAAAAGGCCTTTCTGTCTCTGCCATCCCAGTGGCCGCCTCTCTCCAGGACCAAGTTCCACAGGGTGATAATGTGATAATGAAGGAGCCACTCCTTCCTTTCTTCCTCAGGGAAGCCCACTGGCCCACTGGCTCCAGAGACCCACGCTTGGCCTCTGGGAGCTCACAGCGCCCCCTCCTGGCAGCAGCTTGCTGCTGAGTTTGGCTGTGGACAGCGGCCTCCTGCCAGGAGGTGGGGCTGGCTCTGAGGGTCTGTGCTCAGTCCGGAGCTCCCCATGGGGCCAGGTGGAGAGCACAGCTTTGCTGGCTTCCTCTTCTGTCTAGTCCTGTGTGCCCTTCCTTTCTTTTCAGAACTGCCCCCAAATGCATCCCACCACAGTGAGATGAACAGGAATTCTGAAGTCAGGTTCGGCCTCAGGGGACATCCACCGAAGCAGGATCTCCCAAGGTGCACAGACACAGGTGACTTGTAAGACGCAGGTCTACGTGCCAGTAAGAGGGGTGGCAAAGCATGCACAGCCTGTAGGAGGTAGGCTGCTGTGAGACACATCCAGGAGACGTGGTCACAGTGGGTGGCCAAGAGCCAGCCTCGGGCCGTGAGCACAGTGCCCTCTTCCAGCTTGGCCAGGCATTCGTGGTGGGCTCCCTTCTGAGCTTCATCTGTGATCTGAACATGGGATTTGCTAACACCTAAAACCAGGAAGTAATCAATGGAAGCAGGAATTGTGCATGGATGCTAAAAGCAGGACACAAAGACCTGTAGGAAACAGGATACTTGGTCTTAAAATATCATCAACAGACAGCTTAATTGCTGAGGAAGAGGATAAGGTGGCTGGACAATAGAGAAAGTGGCCGACGCCCCCTTAATCAAGCGATCTGTGTTAGCCCCTGCCACCACGTGACGCCCACGGGACATTCCGTGGACACTGTCTCACTCATATGGCTTTTCCCGCCCCCTCATGTGCTGCTAAAGGACCTGGATGGGCCCAGGAGGACATCAACAAGTTCACTCTTAGGGCTTTTCGTGAAACTGGTAATTTCTCGAAAAACTCCAATGTTTGGAAAAGGTTTTTAAGGTCTATAGGATTTCTTTAGAGGAAAGGAGCAAAAAAGGAAGACCACACTGGCTCTGCAGATTCAAGCTCGCAGTGCACGGGGATTTTTAAAAGCTACAAAGCTGAACACAGCAAATCTTGGAAGCTAAGCAGGGTTGGGCCTGCTTAGCACTTGGATAAGAGACTATCTGGGAGTACGGGGTGCTGGGGGCTTTGGGCTAGGAATAGCTCAAAGGCACAGGTGCCCACCTGGCAAGCGCGAGGTCCTGAGTTTGACCACCAGTACCAAAAATAAATAAATAAAAGCAACAGAGGACAGTCAGGGACCAATGAGACAATACTGGGCTTAGCTTTAATCTCCTGAGTGGGCTCATTTAATGCTGAGTCAGGAAAAGCCTCAGTCTCAACATAGGCACTCGGAAGAGCATCCAGGAGCAGTGTGTGAAAATGCTAGAAGCATTGCATGGTCAGCCTCCCGTCCCCCAGGAAGAAAGAAAACTAAAACAGAGATAAAGCAAGTGCAAAGAAAGCTTGGGCAATTGGTGAATTCTGGTGATCAGTATTAATTCTTCCAACTTTCCTATCATGGTTAAAATGTCAGAGAGACACACGGGAAAGAGAAATAACAGCCACTGCCTCCCTAGGTGAGTAGGGGACTAAAACTCATATCCTGAACAGTCACCATTTGGCCACGAGGTCTGACCTGGCACCGGGGAGATGAGAGGGATGACGGAGATTCATGAGGGACTCAAACCTCTGCTGGAAGATCCTCACCCAGTATCTGTCCCGGCCACAGCCATCCCGGGCACCTCGGCTCCTTGACCTGCTGGGACTGCACCTCCCTTCAGACACCAGGGCTCCCTACTGCCATCAGGTCCCTTAGGTGTGTGGAGGGGCTTTCCCTGGGCCTGGCTTCTCTTCCTTCCCTGGGCTGGGAGTTAGTAACCAGGACAACCCTGCACTTAAGAGCAGTAAAATTTACAGTCACTGGGTGTGGGAGCACACACCTATAATCCAAGGGGTCTGAGAGGTCAAGGCAGGAGAATTGCAAGTTTAAACCAAGCCAAGGCAACTTAAACCAGATTTCATTTCAAAGTTAAAAAAAAAAAGCTGGTGATGTAGCTCAGTACAAAGGCCCTGGGTTTAATTCCTAGTGCTGCTAAATAAAGAAATACATACATACATACATACATACATACATACAAACAAACATAAAATATTCTAGATGTAAGATTCCTGGTTCAGCAGTTGAATAGCAGAAGGAAAGTCCATGGGGGTGAGATACAAGATCAAATGACAAATAATTATTGCCAAGCAAGGGAGGAACACATCTCAGCAGGTGTGTGGTGCTGTTCTGAGACTCAGGCCCTGTCAGATAGAAGCAGCAGGAGCCATTGCTCTGGACCAAGCTCTTCCACTGGGCCCCAAGGGAGTCACTCAGGCTAAAAGTCAAGGCATCACACAACTTAATGGAGACTGGCTCCATTCAAATAGGGATTTCTGTTTGGAAATAAAGTCGATTGGTAGAGAACCAATCACATGTCCCTTGGAACAAAAATAGGAATGTCTAAAACAGCAACAACACAAGTTGAAGCAAAAACAAGTCATCTGTCCTCCCCTAAACCAGGAAGGTGATGACAACTAATTTCCCAAACAGGACAGTGGCGCCTGGCATAACAATGAAATTCCTTCTGCCTGGGTCTTCACACCACAGCTGCAGCCAGGTGGTCTTCCCGTCCCCACTCGGAATTGACCCAGCGCACGTTTGCTTCTGCTGCCTCCAGCCAGCCCCTTTCTGTACCAGAAGCCAGCTTGGGCTGCCTGGTTCCGTGTGATGGAATGATGCATCTCTCCATTTTGGAACCCAAAATAAAGCTCTCAAGACCTTTCAGTTACAGTTTTGCCCTCTGGCTGGGACACGTTAAGTGGGGCAAACAGAAAGACTCTCAAAGTCTCTCCATGAGTGTAAAAAACACATCTTCAGTTACATTTTTTTAAATGGACCACTGACAGCCTCCAAGGTAACGTGCCTTATTGTTATTTTAGGACAGAAGTTATTTTAAATGTACTGTGAAGTTTCCCTTCTCCAGTAGACCCTAGCACGCAGTTCTACTGGGAAGAGATTGGTTTAGTTAAATAACGAACAATCTTGCAAAACCTCAAGACCAAGGGCAGGTCCTCCGTGGAATTGAACAAGGTGGGGCCTGTCCCAGTGTCCCAGGGACACTGGGGTGACCAAGGACTCTGGCCTATGACACAGCCTGGTCTTGGTCACTTACTTCTGGACTC